AGCAAGAATTCTTATGTGGGTGAATGAGACTGACTTGGGTTTCTAGTAATGTGGAAATTATAGAAATGGACTTTCCATATTGAAATATTTCTGGCACTTGTAAAAAATGGGCTGTCACAGGCGCTGTTGGGACGCAGAGTTCCTGCCCTCACTTGTGCCTTTCTCTTGACATTCAAAATGGAGGCCGCACGCTGTGGTTGCAGTACTGTTTCCTGATAAGTCGTGCACGATTGCTAAAATGTCGTTGGCCATGCGAAATCGACCGATGTGCAATTGATGGGGATGGGTCCCTTATCAGACCAACTGCGGTTCTAACAAGGTACAGGATGAAACTGACTATCTCTAGCCGGCTACATTGTTGATGACCGGTGCGTGCGACTTCCAGGCTGCCTGCGAGTAGTTCGTCCAGGCTCGAGCGAAGATAACGAGGCAAAAGGGATAGGAACTCAAATAACTCGCGGCTCAGTATTTCTGGCGGTACTGCGAAGTTCCTAGTGATGGAGTATCCTTGTCAGCTAATCAAGATTTCAAATAATGAACTAATTGCACGTTGAAACAAGGGAAACAATCACCAAAGCAATCAGTAAAACGTCGGCACGTCTTCCTTCGTACGTTTGAACAAACATAAAGAGAATAGAAAGCAAAGTAGTTCATGCAAAATCCTGTCATCTGTTATCTACTGTAAGAAAAGGAAAGAACAGCGGAACATCCAACAAAACTATCCTACAGGATCGACCCTTGCGTAGCCTACGGTTCACGGATACTTCAAGCTCTCTTGGCCTTGACTGGACATGTGGCTGTGCGCAGGTGCTACGACCAGTGACATACCATCAGAGTGGCAAGAGTTACGTGCGGTTGCTCCTTCGCCTCCAATTGCTCACGACGTCGAAGACCGTCGACGCTTGGACCGTACAGGTAGCTGTGCAGCCACGAGGTATAGGAGTTCTGTCGTTGCTGCGATATTCTTGGGTGCGATGACGAACCCAAGAATATCGCAGCAACGACAGAACTTCCATCTGGCGGGCCCACACCGAAGGGAGGGACTTGGGTAGCGATTTTAGGCCTGAGATGCAGCGTTTCCGTGATTGCGATTACGGTAACGTGCGCGGTAGCACCCCAGTGAGGACTCTGGCAATGCCCTTTTGAATCAGCTGGTCATATTCCTGACTTGCGTTCATCGTTGCGGTTGTTGGGTGGGCAGGGCAGGCGCTCGTTAGTTGGCGGCTGATGGAAGACCATGTACTCTCTCTTGACAAGGCTGTGAGGAAAAAATGCCAACTTTATCACATATACACTGGAGGTACAATATATTTGCAGGGTGAGCTATGCTTAAACGAAACTATGCGGTGTGTTGATCCTGGGATAGCGCATTTTCGACAGAAACAAATAAAGAGGCATCCTACTATATATAATCCGCTAAGTTTGTCTGTTGGTGTGTGTGAATGTATGTTTGTGTCTGTATGTGTGTTTGACCGGAAATTCATAACTTCCTTCAAAACAGCGATAGTGCGCTCAAACTGATAAGTGATGTAGGAGGTCGGGCAGGAACACTATTGGTAGGTGGCAGGAAGTGATAAGAGCTGATAAGATAAAACAGGGAGTCTTACTAGGGTCATGAAATTCATAACGCGGGCAACAGTGATGGGACGTTGGTTCCAAGCAGTATGCCAGGGGGCAGGATAGGAACATTAATGGTGGGTGGCAGGAAGTGATAACAGCTGATAAGATTTCGTAACGGGTCTCAGAAGGGGAGGGTCACCAACTTCATAGGGGCACAGCAACTGTAGAACGTTGGTTCCAAAAGTAAGATAGGGGGCAGGATGGGAACATTATTGGTGGGTGGCAGGAAGTGATAACAGCTGATAAGATACCATAGAGGGTCTTAGAAGGGTAGGGTCACCTCACTCATGACTCGCGCTTCAGAAGCTGTGGAACGTTGGTTTCAAAAAGTAAGGTGAAGAGGATGGGAACATTATTGGTGGGTGGCAGGAATTGATAACAGTTGATATGGTACCACACCTAGAAAGGGATGGTCACTAACTTCGTAACGTGCGTCGTTAAATAACACCAACGGTGGAACGTTGGTTTCACCAACGGTAGGACGTTGGTTGCAAGCAGTGATATAGGAGGCAGGATGGGAACGGTTGGTCAGAGAGGAAGCCCCAAATCAATGGGCAAAGGTTAGTGAGCCAAGATGATTTGTTCCTTAACGATACAGTCGAGATTGATTCCACCGCTAATTCTAGAGTTTCACCCAAAAGTAAA